TTATGGTAAATGGAAAAGTTTGCAGCCATTTGGAGTTCCCCAACATCCTATCCAATCTTTCCTACATAGCTCCCCTCCTCCAAGTAAACTTAGGACCCTGAAGCCCCAAGTCATAAACAACACCATCAAATAAAAAATCATTGAATCTATTACTTGAAGACTGTAAAGGAGGTATGCCTCCTCTTCTCTCAGCAGGAGATGTAACACAATTAAAATCTCCACCCAAAATCCAGAAGGAATTAATTGTGTAGCTTATATTCAATAGATCCAGCCACAAGGAAACCTGCTGCCTTGCAATGCAGCTAGCATAGATAAAAGTTGCTTAACCCAACTGAGCACCAATGTTGACTTGAATGTGGATGAATTGAGCGTGATTCCGTAGAATTATACATACATTGTAATTCAACTCTAGCAAAAAGCCAAATCTTATTATTAGAATTAGCATAATGGGTAAATTTAGGAAATTTTCTTAAAATACTCTATGAATGCTTTGTAACCATAGGTTCCAAGATAGCAAAACACCAGATTTTGTGGGTTCTAACAAGATTTATTAATCTTTTGAGAGAGTAGGGGTGTGCAACACCCCTAATATTCCAACACAAAAAATTCATCATTGAGAAAAGGTCCTCCCTTTTCCTCTAGTTTTGGGGGATAGATATGGTTGCTGAATGCTGGAAGTTCCTTCAATAGCCTGATTATCCCGACTTAACTTGGGATCCATCTTCCCCTTCTTCTTTTTGTTACTCCTTTGTACTTGTCATTCCTCAGTTAACACATCAGTTAACAAGTATATAGTGGGGATATCAACTTTATGAGGGTTGATATCCAGCTGTCTCTCTTCAGTACAGTCAACCCCTATATCTCTCTCGCCCAACATGAGAGTGTCAATGGAAGTAGGAATGGACCCATGATCAATCCCTTCACCCAAGGAATTATTCAAGATATTGGTTTGGACCTCTCTTTCTATAATTTTAGTTGTTCCTCCTTAGCTCATTCTCATGTATAGAACTAGACCCTCCTTGAGTTGTAGCACCTTTTGGGGGGCCAACAATATTCTTGGAAGGTGTTTGAAGTCTTTAACAATTCTCCACAGTGTGCCTAAACATTCTACAGTGAGGGCAGTAAAGAGGTCTTTGTTCCACGACAATGCTTTGTCAAAATCCTTCATCTTGAGTGCCAATCCAAACTCTCTTCACATCAGGCAGGGTTATGTCGCTTTCTACTAAAACTCTAGCCCCAGCTAGCCTAGCCAATTTGTAAGTTGGTGCATCCACTTTCAATGGACAACCAAGAGTATGACCAATGTTAAACAACACATTCTGGTGGTAATACTGAATAGGGAGATTGGGCAATTTGAACCAGATGGGAACAATTGGGGGCTCCTTGCTTGGGTCAAAACCAATAGTCCATTTCATCAATTTCATAGGAGTTCCATATGTGTGCGTAACCAGTGGCCTACTTTGTATGACAGCTTCGTGTAAGTCTCCTCTGTCCCGGGTTTGAATCCAGCTGAGTCAAACTAGCACATATGGGATAGACATGCTCATGTTGTCGTCGGTCTTTTTAAGATATATATATGAACATGAGCAAACAAATCTTTGTTCGTGTTCAGTTGGTTTATATATCCAGTGCAAAAAAAATTTTGTATTAGGCTCATTTACTTAAAGAGCGAATCGAACACAAGCTACTTAATGAGCCGAACACAAGTTAAATGCGAACAAAAAGCCATTCTGATAGCCCTATTTATCTATATGAATGCTTATGCATTGTCTAACCACAATAATATCAAAACCTATTCAAAATCAAAGAAGAAAAGAAATCAAGAAGCCTTGAATTCCCCTAGCATCTTCTAGCATGTGTCGTGTCAACTTTGATTGGATTATTAACTTCTTAAGAGTCAAGCAGAATCATATACAATGGAACAAAATTATTTATATGCAACAGCTAACAGACCAATAAATGAAAATAAATTATAAAAGAAATTAGAGTTAACCTATCATGAAAGTCAAACACACACACACACACACCAGCCTCTAAATCATTTTAAGTTGACCTAAATGAACACAAAATCAATTCAAACTAATTTCATGCCCAACAAAAATGGAAGTGATTTTCAAATTTCAGTATTCTTAATAACCCTAAGAAGTCAATCCATGCAAGATCTCTCTTTTTAAAATCATTTTATCACAGCAAAGAAGATTTTTTATTGAGCCTAGGAAGATACATGAGCGTAGAGAGTAAAAATGCTTAGCAGTCAAAATTCACAAATGACCTGTAGTTTCATAAATTAAGACTTAGTTGCACCTATTGGGTAATAATTATGGATGGGATTAATATTTGACCTTATTGTGTGGGTCATCAACAACCCACAAAAGTTAGACATCAAGATGAGGACCTTTTGGGAAATTGGAGTGTTCATGGGAAGAAGATGATTAATAACACTTCCAAAAAAAAATCCTCATAAGAAAAATAACCACGTGATAGGATCAATGAAGAAGTTAGCTCTTGTTTTAGCATAATAATAGTGTTATAAAAGTTCACTAAGGGGAATGAAATTGCAATGAAACTTCTTGAGTGAATATGAGAGGAGAAGTGACTCTAATAATCATAATCTAAAAGTTAAACAATGAAGTTGGGTTGGGTCCTCTTGTGCTTGTTCTTGGCCCTCTCGGCTCTTACATTTTCTTGATGTGTAAGATTAAATTGATGTTTGGTCTGATTGTATCAAGCTTAATTAAAGCCCAAAAGAAATCTATATCCCAAATCCGGCTAATTGCACAAAAGAATGTTAAAAATGCAAGTTTGCTAAAAACAAACCATTAATAAAATCCATTTTTTACAATTCTTCTTACAGGCTAATTGCACAAAAGAATGTTAAAAATGCAAGTTTGCTAAAAGCAAACCATTAATAAAATCCATTATTTACAATTCTTCTTACAAAAGAGACTAAATATTCAGAAAAATTGAAACTAGAATTGCAAGGCCAACATGAAATCTTTTGTTAGCACCTTTATCCATATAACACATCAATATTCATGAAAAAAGTGAACTTGACTGTGAGTCATGTTGAACAACTATTGGCGTGCATCCAAATGGTTGTGTAGCGTGGATGTGGTGAGAAGCACGTTGACAATGTATGTCAACAAAAATAGAATTGATGACAACTTTCAATATCTTAGTTAAAACCAAAGAATAAAATTAATAACACCTCTAACATTCAAAAAAAAAAAGTTATCCCTGCCACAAGTAGTAGTATAAATGAGACATTTAAAGAGGATACAATAGCCTAAAATTAATCAGTGAGCAAAAATAGAAGCGCTACACTTCAATTTAAGATGTGGTTGTGCAAGTGTTTGACTTAAATATCCCCAAAAGTGAGAGTACAAAAGATTCATTGAGAAATCTAAATGACTATTGCAAGGCTCACAGAAAGATAGGATATGAACATTGTTTACTAGGGTTAAGGAATCCATAAAAACATGACAATAACATGGAAATTATACACATCTGTATTTGCATGAGAGACAAAATAGATCTATATTTTCATTTAAATGAATAGCATCTGATGTGGGTTGTCACTCGTATTCTGGGAAGTGTGAAGAATAAGTAAAAAAAGGAACGATCTTTGTTTGACATTGTAAACAAGAAGTTAGATCCTAAGATGTGAGTCATTGAACATAAACCCCATTAGACTTGAGCTTCAATGTTGAATCAGTAAACCTTGTGTAAATATGCGAGTGATGCCTAAAGTGATCTACACCCCAAATATTGTTGAATCTACAAAATAAGTAACGTTGAATTTTAGATAAACACTCCAAGAGCAGTGTGACCTAGCTTAACTCAACCAAATAAAACTAAGCTCATCAGATCCTTTGATTAGGTACTCAGGCATTTCTTTTATTATGCATTGCCCAGAACAAACACTCTAGGAGGTTCAACTATAAGCCCAACTGCACACATTACAGTAAGAGTCATAGACAGTTCGGATTTCTTGAGCAACCAAATTTTCACCAGCTTCAAGCATTTTTCCATCTCATTTAAGCATTTGCTATAATGCTCGAATGAATATCTTCCAACAAAAACTGAATACTCAAACGAAGATGATAATGCAGTCCAGTTCATGCAGCATTTGTTGCTCCTAGAAAATTTTCTCAAAAAGGTTACATCTGTTTTATCCAAGAGAATTGTTTATCCGTTTAACGAAACAAAGTAGGGATGAATGTCAAGTGGACATTATTCCCCAAAAAAAAGGAATTTTGCAGAAAGAAATATCCTTTTACCACCATTTAATAAGACAATTAGAAGCATTTGAATCGTTGGAATCTGGCCCAAACCAAATAAAAAGGACAAATAGAAGCATATGAATCGTTGGAATCTGACTCAAAAAAATAAACAAAAAAAAACAAAAAACAAAAAGAAAAGAAAAGACTACATTCATGAATAAAACAAAAATAGCATCACACTCTTAGCGGGCTTGACCTCCTACCATTCGATTGGAAACATGATTGTTTGCAGTTTGCATCACAACAAGAATAATCCCCAGCAAGTAGCAAAAAAAAAAAAAACAAAAACAAAAGAAAGGGACATCCAAATACATAAGAAAGCAAACTTAACAGACTCAGCAATAATATTCAACCAAAATCTGCAAGCCTGCCAATTAACCTAGAGTTCATTGAATCTAAATTATTAAATTGGTTTATTATTTATTATGATGGAAGAAAAAAAGAAAGACACCTTTCACCCCCACGAACCTTAGCCGAGCGTAGACGTGCAAAAGACAAGAATAAACAAAAGAGACACAAGTGCACGAGGATTCAATTCGAGACAATATAAATCTATAGGGTGAAGAGCATGGCATGCATATGTGCAAACAGTTAAAACGATCACCAATCACGAACTACAAACGAGTTGATTGCGATCGGACAAGGCGCTTGAAAGGCTGATTATTATCGGAAG